TTGAAAAATCACTTCAAACAATCCTTCAAAATCCGTTGGGTTTGGATGGGATTGTTTTATGATTCTGGTATTTATAGATAACACTAGAAAGTCCTTCAAAATCCCTCTCACACAACAATCCTTTAAAATCCTTATATTTTTGAATACCAATGGATTATTTTTAAGTTGTAAAAAAACTCAAACGAATACCAGTGGATTTTAATGGACTCTTTAAAAAATCTTGAAAATCCAGATTGAATACCACTGGATTGTTTTTAAGTGACATAAAATCCTGATTGAATACCAATGGACTTTTTTACTCAAAAAAAGTCTTTTAAAATCCTATAAAATCCTAAACCAATACACCCCCCTTAGTATCTCTATATTTTATTTAATAAAAATGTTTAAAAATTATTAATATTTAATAGATCAATTGGTATTATATTTAATTTTTAAATCTAAAAATTTTAAATTCAAGTCTTATTTTTATAAAAATAATTAATTTTTAATTTTATTTAAAAATTTAAAGATAAGATGTTTGAATAGTATACACCAAATGAAATAATTCTCTTTATTATATGTTATAGGTATAGATTATATATAAAAGTTTATAGTTAGATTAGATTTAATAATTTCTCTGTACATAAAAATTAATGAGATTCATGCTCGTGTTTTACTCTTAGAGAGTACTAAAATTAAATTATACTTTAAATAGTAATAGATATAAACGTATTTTATTTCGTACATTAATTAGCTTTGAAAGTAGTTTGGTGCGAGTATGAAAAATGATTTTTGTGTAATGATAAACAATGCTATCTCTTTATAACTAAAATATAAAAATATAATGGTATCTCTTCCATTTAATGGGCCGAGCCCAGCCCACGAAAGGGGGAGGTTAGAACATGCCATTTGGCGTTTTCCTCTTTCCCCTTGTGCGTGCAGTACATGAGGAAAAACGAAAGAAAGAGCCACCATAACCGTAATCGTACTGTTACTAATATCCTACTCTGATACTGACGCTACCGCACTTCCCCAATCGCCATGGGAGATTCTAAACGGATTTCCGTTCACCGCCTTCTCGGTGAAGGCTTAGGTTCTCTCTCTCACACACACTCTCTCTCTCTCTCTCTGATTTCGTTCAATCCGCAACGGATCCTTCACCGATAGCTGCAATTTGACGGTGTAATCGGAGTTGATTATTTTTAATTTGATTTGATTATGTGTGACAGTTGCCGATGTGGTGTTGTGGAAGAATTGGCGTGGAGCGGTTGCATTGCTCGTTTCTTCTACCACGTTATGGTACCTGTTCGAGCGAGCCGGTTACAATTTCTTGTCCTTCGTCGCTAATGTTGTGTTGCTTCTCGTCCTTATTCTCTTCTTTTGGGCAAAAGCTGCTAACCTTCTCAATAGGTATTTCACTTCCTCCAAATCGTGTTGCATTTGCTAGATTATCGTCTCCGCTAGATTCGAACACTTTATTTTTTATATCTAAACTGCTAATTACTGAATTGAAAATGAAATGTTTTGAGAGGAAAAGAAATTATTGCGTTTATATGCTCTATTGACTGTTGTAAAACTTTATGCTCATGAAAATTTAAATAACGGTGAGGAATATGCTGAGTCCTGGTGTAGTTTAGGAATATGTTTTAGTGTAGTAGTGAATATACTTTGTTCAGACGAAGTTGAAATTAATTAATTTGTTTAATGTGCAGACCTCTTCCTCCTCTCCCCGATCTGGAGATCTCGGAGGAAACTATTGCCAGAGTTGCTGATGCACTGCAAATTTGGATGAATCGGGTGTTGTCCGTAGCACACGACATAGCTATTGAGAGGAATTTGTTTCTTTGCCTACAGGCATGGGATTTACATTTTATTTTTTATCTTTGTTTTGTGCCGAGTTTGATGAATTTAAGCACTTTTTATATAGAATTTTATGTTGACACTTCTTTATGTGAACTTGTTGAATCAGGTCGTTGGTGGGTTGTGGGTAATATCTTTCCTAGGCAGTTTGTTCAACTTCTTGACTTTGATCTATATTGGTAAGTTCTATTCTTATGTAACTTTTACACGTTCAGACAATCTTCTGTGGAATCCTCCTGGTTGACATGCATTTGCTTTTAATTTCCATAAATTTCCTGACAGGTGTTCTTCTTAGCTTGTCTCTTCCTGTGTTGTATGACAAGTACCAGGACCAAATTGATGACCGGCTATGTGTGGTACATGGGATTATTCATAAACAGCATCAAAAAATTCGTAGTATTGTTTTAAGCAAGATTCCAAAACTCTCAAGCAAAGAAAAGAAGGTTCAGTAAGAACACGGTAAGAGCATTCTATCCCTTTTCGTGTATTTGATGCAAGTAGTAGTTACTCAAGAGTGTATCTTACTTCCTTATGTTTGTATGCAATTTGTCTATTGAGTGATGAAATGTCCATGACTCAACTGTTACTATCAATGTATTCTTTTTGAATGACATGTCTCTATTTAAGACAGAAAGCTCTTTTTTATACCAGTTACCTAAAACCAATAAAATACCGCTTGCATATATTTTACTCTTCTCTTTGCTTGTAACGTACTGTTCTCGTTAGCTTTTGGTTACTTTCCCATGTCCAATTAAAAAGTTATTGTAGAAGTTCTATGTCTTGAAGCTAAAATAACTACTCCCTCTAGATTCATATATAAGCAAAAAAGTACCTAAATTTTTTTGACTCAAATATACTCAAATTCTAACCAACTTTAATGCTATCATTTCAAAAACACCCCTTAAATTAAATGTGATTACTGTTTTAAATAAATATTATTAAGGGTAGTTTAGGAAGCAAAGTTTAGTTTTTATATCAAATCAATAAAATTAAATGAACTTAACTAATTTCCTTAACTTGTGAAAATTTAGGTATTTTTATTTATATATGAGTCCAGAGGGAGTAGTAATTAGTGATTGCAAAAGGGTATGTTTTATAGGATAAATGGTGTGCTAAGGCATAAAAATGTCTAATTTGGTATTTTCTGGCATTTATATCATATTTGTGTGAATTCCATTTATCTGAGTTAATAATATTATACTCATTAGATGTTTTATATGGAGATACTTTTTGTATAACTTTTTCATCTAATAATTTGTATAATTTTATTAGAGTTGCACTAGCAATGTAAATTAATTATACCTTCATTCTGTAAAATAAAAAAAAAATAAAAATAAAAAACTTTAAATAGTTCAGTTGAAATTTTTGGTTAATTTCTTCTGTTTGAAGTTCAGGGAGCAAATGGATAAGTGAAGTCTAGTTAGGAGTGTGCAATGAAGTGCTTGTGGTTTTCTTTTTTGCTGGGATGCTATTGCTCCGTTGATTGATGGTTTGACGGTATGTTAATTCTTCAGAATCAGGATTGACCAATAGCTTTGACGTAGGTGCTTATTCTCTTCTGATTTTCTATCTATCATCCCTTGGAAGATACTTTATATGAACTTTTATCAATGGGTATATTACCCTTGTTAAATTTCACTTTGGACAAGTTTATCAGAGAGCAGAAAAAATAGAAAAGAAAAGACCTGACATGGTTTTTGGCGACGAAAAATATTTTTGGTTGGGTTGGTTATATGATGTACTGCTGAAATGTTGAATTACCACTACGTGTACTGTGATAATCTTTTCTACTTAATTAGGAATACAACACTGGAAATAATATTGGTAACAAAATGTCTTGGCACTGCATCGTCGTTATCCCTAGCCTCAGGTTGGCTTATGCTTGCTGCTAATGTGATCGCTGATTTATATTGTTTATATAGACTACATTTGAGTCCAGTTCGTTACCTATCTTGAAGCGTGACTTTCCCTTTTTATGTTTTTTTCTTTTTTTTTTTTAATGTTTAAAAGGTCTTGTCACTTTTAATTTACATGGATAAAGCATTCTACTGACACTAGCATTATCCCAATCTAGATGCACCAGGTATTATTTAATTTTTAGGATCGCATAAGTTCTGTAATGGGATTTTGGAACCTGGCCTGGTTACGTTGGATTTACTTGACAACTCCCAAATTATTTAGGGTCTATTTAAATAAAATTTTCTATGTTATAGAAGAAAAGTAAAAATAAATTATTTTTTTCATAAGTTAAAATTAATTTATGTATAATTTAAAAACTAGTTTTTGGAGAAATTAATACGATGACTTTTCGAATTAGCTTATTTTCAAGTTAATTTTATCTTATGATAAGATTTATTTCATTTTTCTCTAATTTTCTTCTCGTATGTAGTGTTCGTGAAAAAAAGTTATCCAGTTGACTTCAGTTAAGATTTTTGTTTTAATAAAATGTAACAAGTGTTTGGCTCAATGCAAAAGTGTTTCATTTTACGTTTTCTCCCTTGTTAAATCATGTAACTCCTTAACAAGTAATTAAAGACAGCTTTAAGGTTTCCAAAAGTAACTTATTGTGAGTATTTTCTTTTAAGGTGCTTTTAGTTTAAAATGCTATTGTCATCCGTAGCTACACTCCCTAGAAGCATGTGAAAGCAATATCGTAGATATCTAGGCTAAATCACCGTTAGGCATAACTGGATTAACATATCTATCATTGCCAATGGTGAATGAAACTGAATCAAGAATTAAGATTTTTTCACGGGTTTGAAAATTCGAAGTGTGAAGTGTTTGGTAGTTGGTATTCACCGTTGGAAAATTAGGCATTTAAACGCATGTATAGAATTGAATACATTTTTACCCTCCTCTGTGTAGCGAGGACCAAGGGAAATATAATTATAACGCAAATCTGCACTAAGGCTTTGTTTGGATTTGAGGATGGAAAATGGGCAGTGGAAAAGGAGGGATTTGAAGGGAAAGTGAGGTTGTTTGGATTAAGGGAAAGTGAGTGGAAAGTGTAGAGAAAGTTTGTGAAAGTTTGTGAGTGAATTGATTGATGTGATAGATAAAAATGAATTTTTTAATTGATAATTGTGTAAGATTACTATTTTGCCCTTAGGTTAAAATAAAGTTTATAATTATTATAATTAAAAGATAAATATATAAATTTTAACTAAAAAAATAAATATAAAATATTAATTTAAAAATAATTTAATTTAAATATTTGCTTTAAATTTAACGATAGATAAAAATTAAAAATTTAATAGATGAATATAAATTTACACTTTTACTCTTGGATTAAAAATGAGTATAATATTATTTATTGTAAATAATAATAATTACAATAAAATTATATTAATAGGTATAATTTATTAAAAAAATAATAAATAATGATAAGAATAATAATAAATATTAGAAAAATAATAAGAATCATAATAAATAATAATGATACTAATTATAATAAATAATAATAATATTAATAATAATGAAAATAATAATAATTTTTATAATAATAAATAATAATAACAAAATATATTATAATAATTATATTTTCTCACATTATTTTACTAATGTTTATGAAAGTGTTATTATTTTAATTTTATAAACATGTATTACTTTATTTTTTTTATATTTCTACTTTTTGATGTCAATATTTAAATAATAGAATTTTTTTAAAATAAAAAATGTACAATAAAATTTTTAAAAGTTAATTAATAAATTAAAAAAATTGATAAATCATTGATATAAATTAAAATGAAATGAAGATATATTTATTAATTGTACAAATTAATTTTTACCAGTTAAAAAATTGAGAAATTTTTTAAATTACAAATTTGGGGTTGCATTTTATGCCATTTTGGAATGGCCCGTTCTCAACTAAGATTTTTAAGCCAATTTTCTAGTTTCGGAACGGCCCGTTCCAGTTTCGGAACGGCCCGTTTTAGGATACTAAATTGCTCTTGTTTTGGTAATTTGGAACGGGCCGTTCCAATTTTAGAACGGCCCGTTCTGGATTCGCCTGGAAGCGAAAATAGGCTACCATAATCGATTATGCAAGCCACATAATCGATTATGGGCTTGCATAATCGATTATGCAAGCCCCCATAATCGATTATGTGGCATGCATGGAACAAGGGCATTTCTGATTTTTCACAAATTCTACGTGTCTTTCATCTCTTTTCTTCGCTTTTGTGCGAGGACAGCAACAGTGCTTCTCCCCCCTTTTCTTCGTCTTTCCTTCGTTGCAAATCATCGGAAACAAACACCCACTTTCTTCGCCTTTCATTGCTCGTAAACAGTACATCACCGGAAACAAACACTATGTAAAGGCTAGAGTGAGTTTTGAGAGGTCATGTCATGTGAAGGTTGTTGAGACTTGAGATGTCTCTTAATAATATTTTTTATTTTCAAAATTATCAGACTTCTTTCATTTATATCAACTCGCGATTAATAAATAAGAAAGAAGCAAAAATTTTATATATTGAGTGTAAGAAGAAAAAAATGATTTTTTTAAAACGGAAATTGAAATCACATTGTTCTGTAATCACACTTTACCTGATCTCCGCATTCTTTAGATTTATTGAGTAAAACTATTTTAAAATCAGAGGTAGAAATGACAACACTTGAACGTCTATTATTTCGTTTGATTTTGGAAAAACAAGAAAGATGGTATGTGAGAAAAAAATAGTTATGTTGTATCAATTAAACTATCAATTATGTGATGTTTCAAATAATGAAACTGTGGACTTGCCTCAATCAATTGTCACAAGCTTATTCTAGTTATAAATATACAGCTGCATTAAACATTGAGAGAAGGTTTTGTTATCTGTGCTATCCGTTGATCATCATAATAATAATAATAAAACAAAAAAAAAACAATAAAACAACAACAACAAAAAAACTAAGGCACGCTAACCTTTTAATTCACCTTTTTGAACACAGTCAACATATATATTTGAGAGATCATTTTACTCTAGGAGTAAGTCTACCTAGACTTACTCTGTTCAATAACTCATGTTCTACATCAAATTTCAACGATTCAACCGTTCAATTTAAAGTTTTTAATGCATAGATCAAATCTGCAAATTTTTAGAAAATTTGAAAATTATTTAATACTTCATTTCATTAATTTGATACTTCCTTTTATGAAATTGTAAGTTGGAAAACTAAAACAAGTATGACTTCTTCCGAACACCTAAAGATATAAATGGATCAAATCAAACAATTGAAATTTAAGTTTATCTTATAAAAAAAATTACTGAAATTTGTCTTTTATGTTAAATTTTAAACTTGAACTTGCCTTGAGTGAAAATTTTAAAGTTTGTATATGGTTTGAGATTATGAAAAAGTATATTTTTGTATTCATAAACCATAACATTGACTTAAGATTGAGATTATGAAAAAATATACTTCTTTGAAGAAATTTTATGATCATGCATTTAATGATTCTTAAAAATTAAAATTGTTATAAGCGCATATATAAGACGATAATTAAAAAAAATTAATTTAATCTTAAAGTTTAATTAAATAAACACAGTTGCATGAACATTGAATAAACAAAATTCAAATAATTTACAAATAACCTGCTCTAAATGTAACTCTTATTTTAACTTGTTCCATTTAATAAACTTTTATAAATATCGAATTTTGTTAACCTAGCATTAGTTTTGAGAGGTCTCATGAATTAAGTCAAATATACAAAATTTTATATAATTCAAAATTCTTTAATATTTCATCAATCAACTTTATATTAATTTATAATGATATACTTACACAAAACCAACGTCAACTTTCACATCGTTTTTTTTTTCTTCCTGGATTGTGGACACCAGTTTCGTTTGAGTATTCCTTTTCTTTTTCTCTAAAAACACAATTTATCAATTTCTTGTTCCTACACCTTGAATCTCAACATTGCCATTTCCCACATTCCTGGGCAGTCTCAAATCCCGAGGCGTAGGAAACAGTCGAAGCATTTAAATTAGAGCGCTTTACCATTTTAATGTGTTAACTGAACAAAAAACAAGAAATAAAAAACCCAATGTGTTGGCAGATAGCAGTTTAGCGTGAGAAAAAAATATAGTAACGGTTAGTTTGATCACAACTACAAGTGAAACAACCAAGATAGTTTCAGTTCCATACGCAGTTAGGAGTAGATTCTTAGTCCTAACTTGCACACAACCCATGTGAATATCGCGCATGAACCATGACAAATACTGCACAAGATTCTGATGCATAAATCATAATGAGTGATGCAAATACAAAATCATGGGCACAAAGAAACCCTAACAAAAAAAAACTTTGTTCCTTTGATAAAAAAAACTCCACATCATACTGTCAAACAAGCTGGCGAGTATTTTGAAAAGAAACAAAAACCCGCAGATAGCATGACAGGTCTAATATACAATTATTTCAAAGTTGTTTTTCGAAATTTCTCCTATTGACACATACCGAGACAAGCTATGAAAGTAAGTGATAACTCCAAGCTGTGAAGCGTAGACAGACAACGCGATCTACTCCTGCCATTGTAATAATCAACCCAAGGATCTTCATTTGCTGAGTTATCATGCTTATTAGCAATATTGCACATGTTCTTTTGAAATTGGAAATACGTGATGATGTCAATTGCCTAGGAAGAAGGCCTTAAAACGCTGTATCAAAAAAATGAAAACAATTCATTAAGGAAACAACCACCACCAATAAGGGTACAAGTTTTGGGTGTGATTTCATCATACTAGTCTCGAGACAACCATTATGCAAACTTGGGAAATGGAGTTGCTTCTGAAGGCGGAAGTGTGACTGATCGCAACAACTCGAGTGAGAAAACAAGCCCAAGGAAATGAGAAAGAATAGTGTTCGCTGAAGCCTGTAAAAATAAAATAAGTGTTTAATAGTGTTACACATTTCTTGATGAGTGGCGCCAAGTGGCCAATCATTGCTTTTGCTGAAGACCATATGTTGTATACTTGTGTCTAAGACAACGAAAATCTATGAAAATATTCACCAAGATCAGACATAACAAAAATGCCACCTTTTGTTTCTGGAAACAAGATTTTGTTATTATCATCATTTCCTTAAGAAAATCATGAAAACAGTGGAGGTAATATTTACGGAAATACTGGCAATAGACCCTATCCATCACACTTTTTTCCAACACACTCTACACTATTGGGTGAAATTCATATCAACCCACTAAAAATTGTCAGTTCTACCCCATATAAATTTGGTAGAAACACATAAATTTTACCCAATAGTGAAGAATGTATTGGAGAAAGTGCATTAGAAAATGCGAGATACTAGCATTCCCCATTTTGTAATTGTTATTTGTTAGTTAAAACATATCAACTTCATGGAAAAAAACTAAACATCACAACCTTTCCTATTTTCATAAGTCATTTACATTATTTAAAATTTGTCTCGTCTTAGAAAATGGGTGCATATCAGAGGACAAGGCTTGCAGAACAAAGGGAACAGAGGAAACTAATGAGAATAAAACTGATGAAAACAAGAATTAAACTTAAATTACAGAATTTAGCTCGAGCACAAACCCAGCAAAAAAAAATCTGTAGAAGGGAAACTTTCTACTCAAGACATACCTGCACCAAAAATACATCCAATGCGAGAACTGGGCTGTTACCAGGTGATATTCCCTGATAATACGGGTTGGCTGAGGAAGTGAGAGCCTTTGCAACTAACAATCCAACCGTGGCTTGCATTCCAAGGATAGCAGCACCCATCCCCAATAGGTTCATTATTATACCATTTTTCAACCCTTTCACTACATCAGCGCGAGGGGGTGCCTGAAAGTTATATGTTAAAGATATACAAACAGACAATTCCTTCACATTGACAAAACTAAGTGAACATTGCGAAATTAACATCATTCAGCTCCCTAATCAAATTCAATAATTGACACACCTTGGTAGGGTCATTTGCAGTTCTTTGAAGCTTCTCAGAGAGGCGAATATAGCCAAAGGACCAAAACACGGAAATGAAGGCAGCCACTATTCCACCCGCAGTGGCATAAAACGTGGCCGGCGACGTCACTTTTCCGGTGATGACGACGGAAAACGAGAGTATAACGGCAGCCACGACGGTGCACACTAGCTGACCCCAAAACCCTAAGCTACCCAAACGCTTGAAATGCCTCGCCGTCTTCTCCAATCTCTTCGCCACCTGCACCGCAACAAAACCACATTTTGAAACCCTAGAAATGCAATTCGAGTCGGCAATCGAATAAGACGGTTCAG